TCTGCCTTGCTGACATGCCCCAGCTGGCTTGCTCTCGCTTCACCTCTCACTAATACCATCCGCATCTACGCAGAGTCTTCAGACAATTCATGGGACGGGCCAGCAGATGGTGTAATGGCTACATGGCTGGACTCCCACATAGCTGACCATGGTTCGAGTCCTGGAGCCAGTGGTTTGAAACTCACGCCAGGTGTGTGTGAGTGCCCAAGATCCTGGCCATCCCCTGGGGTGTGATTTCTCTTTCCTCTCATTGTCTCTGTCTCTCTCTCTGGAGAGTACATGCACCCTAAGACAACAACCTATAAAAAAATTCGTGGAGCATGAGTATTATGAAAACATCATGCATGGATTTCGATATTTTTTTTTGCACCGCAATAAATTTGTACTTTAATTCCATTTTCCATTAATCTTTTGAAATCTCTTTGTATATGAACATTGCTTTCTTTCTCCTTCTCACCCTTGGACATTTTAGCTCTCTGCCCTTGCACAGTGTCCCCAGAGAGCAGGCCGTGACCCTGGAGCACCCCTTCTTTGGTCCAGCTGGGGGTGTGGTAGGGGGCGTCTCTGAAATAACCTAGTCCTCTGGGCCACTGGGAGAAGCTATGCAAGATTCAGCCGAGGGAGGGGCAGCTTCAGGGTAATGAGGGGGCTGGGTAAGAGGGGGCAGAGCAGAAGGCTCCCCCACCCGTCAGCCTCTCTCCCTGTCCCAGATCTCCTTGCCCAGAGAGGAGCAGGAACGGAATGGCAGTAGGAGCACAGCTCCCCCTGGTGGGGGGAAGCTGTCCAGCTGTCCAGCTGCCACCACTCTGGAGGAACACCAGGGGGCACTGGAGACACAATGGGCCCTGTGAGTACTTAGTCCCCAGAAGGCACAGGCCTGAGCCTTGTGTTCTACTGCTGTTGGGTCAAGGGCCCCGTGAATGTCAGCTAGCTCACGTTGGCCGATGGTGTTCAGTCTTCCGTATCCTCATGATTTTCTGTTTCTCCCTTCAGCTCTGACAGAGGGTACCGAAACCTTTGCCACCACCTGGAGACTCTCAGGCCTGTCAGTGGACACAGGTAGGGCTCACCTCGTTCGCTTATTTCCTGGCCACCCTGTGGTATGTGGAGGGCAGGGAGTAAATCTGATCCCTCTTACTCCACCCTCCTTCTATTTTTCTTTTATTTTTTAGTTTATTTATTTATCTTTTAAATACTTTTTTTTTTTTTGGAGAAGTTTTTGCTATAGGGTGCATGTGCTCGCCAGACAGAGAGAGACATAGAGACAGAAAGCGAGAAATCACCCCCTGGGGGGGGATGGCCACGCCGCAATCCCTTCTCCTCCATTCTCCTCTCGGGATCTTGGGCACGCATGCACACGCGCCCGGAGTGAGTTTAAGCCACCAGGTCTGGGACTCGAACCACGGTCAACTACATGTGAGTCCAGCGACATAGCCATTAGGCTAACTGCTGGTCCCAAAATACATTTTTTATATAATTTTATTTCTTCTTCATCTTCTTCAATTTGACCAGAGAGGGAGAGGGAGAATGAGCAAGAGAGAGAGGACAGAAAGCAAGCTGCCAGGTCTGGGGCTAGAACTGCAGTCGACCATGTGGAAGTCCAGTGCCTTAATCACCACCCCACCTGTCAGCCTCTAGTTTATTTATTTCTTCCATGAAAGAGAGAAACAAAAAGACAAGTACCTTCAACAGGGTCCCCACACTATGACCCATTCCTGTTTTAGCCTGTCTGAATCGCAGACCTGGTACGTCCAGGGAATCCCAGAGCTCGAACCCAGGACCTTCCTGTGAGTCCAGTTGAGTTACCACTGTGCCACCACCTGGCCTCTGATACTCCATCTGGATTAGGGCAATTGCATTTTTTTTTCTTTTTTTTGGAGAGGTTTTTAATTTTTTTTTTCTTTTTGGAGAGGTTTTCGCTATAGGGCATGTGCGCTCGCCAGACAGAGAGAGAGAGACAAAGAGACAGAAAGTGAGAAATCACCCCCCAGGGGGGATGGCCACGCCACAATCCCTTCTCCTCCATTCTCCTCTCGGGATCTTGGGCAAGCACGGACACGCGCCCGGCGTGAGTTTAAGCCACCGGGTCCAGGACTCGAACCGTGGTCGACTACGTGGGAGTCCAGCGACATAGCCATTATGCCAACTGCTGGTCCCAGGGCAATTGCATTTTTTAAAAAGAATTATTTAATTTTATTTATTTATTACTTTTTTCACAAGGTCTCTTTTTGAGAAATTTTTGCTATAGGGCATGTGTGCTTGCTGGAGAGACGGAGAGACAGAGAGATGGAAAATGAGAAATCACATTTCTCACACCCACAATTCCTTCTCCATCCTTCTCTTGGGATTTTGGGCATGCACACACACACACAACTGGCATGAGTTTCAAGCCACCGGGACTGGGACTCGAATCGCCGTCAGCCACGAGGGAGTCCCGCACTATAAGCAGCATGCCGTCTGCTGGCCCCTTCTTCATTATCATCACTATTATTAAATTTGCTATAGGGCATGTGAGAAAGAGAGAAAGTGAGAAAGAAGCACTTCATGGGGCTGGCAGGCGGCATGGTTATTAAAGGCGCTGGATTCCCACACAGTTGACTGTGGTTCGAGCCCTGGACCTGGGAGCTTGCTTTCTCACTTTCCCTTTCTTCCTGTCTCTGTCTTTCTCTGGTCAAATTAAAAAATGATAATATCAAATGAAACTAAATAATTTTTTTATGGGACCAGCAGTTGGCGTAATGGCTATGTTGCTGGACTCCCACGTAGTCTACCGCGGTTCGAATCCTGGACCCGGTGGCTTAAACTCACGCCGGGCATGTGTCTGTGCGTGCCCAAGATCCCGAGAGAACAGAGGAGACGGGATCATGGCATGGCCATCCCCTCTGGGGGGTGATTTCTCGCTTTCTATCTCTCTGTCTCTGTCTGTCTGGCGAGTGCACGCGCCCTATAGCAAAAAAATCCTCTCCAAAAAAAGAAAATAATAATAATAATAAATAAATAAATTTTTTTTTTAAATGAAACACTTCATTAGAGGTGGAGAGCAGGGCGGGGCAGTGTGGGCAGGGCTGATACGGACATTCGGGATAGTTGAACTTCAGCATGCAGGTGGTTGCAGGCCTGGAGTTTAGGAGTCAGGACTGAGAATGTCTGCCTCACAGGCTGTTGTCAGAGTTCGATGACTTCATGTCTACGAGGTACAGAGGACAGGGCCTGGCCCCTAGCAAGTGCCAACTGGGGTTAATAGTTTATACAGCTCTGGAGAAGCTCCCACGGTTGGCTCTGGCCCTTTCCCCTATATGCGGACTGTCTCATTCCCCCCCAGCATGAGGGCAGTAGGTTCTTGAGATGGCTTAGACACTTCTTGCCCCTAGGGACAAAGTCCCATAGTCTATGGCTAACATTTATGTTGATTTATTTATTTTAAATCTTTGCCATAGAGCGCATATGCTCGCCGGAAAAAGACAGACAGGAAGAGTGAGAAAGCACCCCCAGGGAGACAGCCATGCCCTATCTCTTCTCCACCCTCTCCTACTGGGATTATGGGCATATTCATATGCGCTCAATGTGTTTTTTCAAGCTGCCAGGTCCAGGACTTGAACCATACACTCGGTCATGTGGGATCCAGTGCCTTAACCACCATACCACCCACTGGCCCCATTTATTTATTTATAAAGAGTAGAGACTTACTAGGGGACCAGCAGATGGTGTAATTGTTACATCACTGGACTCCCATGTAGTCAACTAGAGTTCGAATCCTGACCTGGTGGCTTAAAACTCACGCAGGGGGGAACCAGCAGTTAGTATAATGGCTATGTCGCTGGACTCCCACGTAGTCGACCGCGGTTCGAGTCCCGGACCTGGTGGCTTAAACCTCACGCCGGGCGCATGTGCGTGCGTGCCCAAGATCCCGAGAGGAGAATGGAGGAGAAGGGATTGCGGCGTGACCATCCCCCCTGGGGGGTGATTTCTCGCTTTCTGTCTCTCTGTCTCTCTCTGTCTGTCTGGTGAGCACACACGCCCTATAGCGAAAACCACTCCAAAAAAAAAAACAAAAACAAAACAAAACTCACGCAGGGGTGTGTGCGTGCCCAAGATCCTGAGAGACGAATGCAGGAAAAGGGATTGCAGGGGTGTGTGCGTGCCCAAGATCCTGAGAGACGAATGCAGGAAAAGGGATTGCAGGGGTGTGTGCGTGCCCAAGATCCTGAGAGACGAATGCAGGAAAAGGGATTGCAGGGGTGTGTGCGTGCCCAAGATCCTGAGAGACGAATGCAGGAAAAGGGATTGCAGTGTGGCCAAACCCCCTGGGGGATGATTTCTTGCTTTTTGTCTGTCTGTCTCACTCTGTCTCTCCGGTGAGCACATGCAACCTATAGCAAAAAAAAAACCCTTTCTAAAAAAAAAAAAATTGAAGTTCTGTTTCTTTTTAAATTTATTCAATTTTGGGAACCAGCAGTTAGCGTAATGGCTATGTCGCTGGACTCCCACGTAGTCGACCGCGG